GCTAAGAGACAGCGACAAAAGTTGAACATTTTTCAACTTTCATATGTCGTGTCGTAAGCTCGTGTGTGCACGTCTATGTGTACGAGCACGAAATTTCACATGCACTATTTTCACCGGTCGCTTAGCTGGAGGAGGGCGAGKYATTGTCGCCTCACCGCACAGGCTCCACAGGAAATGAATGGAGAGAGAGCGACGTSGCCTCCTGTGTGTCGAGCCCTTCAGTCAGGAACACAGAGCTCACACAACATTCACCTGAGAATCTACTGCAGAGTTTAAACAGCTCACAGAAATTTGGGCTTTCTGTTTTCACATCACCATCTGTAGTCGGGTCGTGTTCAGGAGAGAAACCCAGACCTCCCTCTCCTCAGCAACACTTTCCAGTTCATCCTGAGGGACCCCAAAGTGTTCCCAGACCATGGAGCAGGGGTCTCCAACAAGTAGCTCAAGGGCTACTGGTAGCTCATGAGCTCATCTAAAGTAGCTCTTCAGTTCTTATGAAAAACAAGGAGAAGCAAACTTTCATTTAATTCCAATSGATGTCCTTCCCCTTGGTTGTCAATCAAACATTTTAGGGCTCAGAGTGGTCGATCAGCAGACAACACGTGATTACCTGGTTGTTCAGCATTCCTTTTCGCACACACCTTTCATGGCCCCTTGAGACACTGTGCTGCTCTCCTGAGAAACCCCTTCTGCTGCCACATACGTCACTACAGGGGGTTTCTTCCCACTGGAGTCTYCAATGAGGAAAAAACTTGGAGACCCACAAATCTGTTGCAGTTAAAGCCTAAGTTAGTAGTGTGAAATACAATATAATATGGATGAACACAAAAAGCACATTCATGTAAACTCAGTGTTCCTTGTGATGGTTTCATGTGAATTGAAGATGTGTTTTTTGTGCAAAACAAGCTTATTCCAATGGTTTAAGTTAAAAATTCAATGTAGCAAAAAGTAGCTCTAGGACAATTAAATTTCATGAAAGTAGCTCTTAAGGAAAGAAAGGTTGGAGACCCCTGCCAAAGAGGATCCATAATCCCTCCAGCAAGTCCTGGGTCTTCCCCGGGGCCTCCTACCAGTGGGACGTGGGAACACCTCTAAAGGGAGGTGTCCAGGAGGCTCCTGATCAGATAAACCACCTCAAGTGACTCCTTAGAGCATCGGCTCTACCCTGAGCTCCCCCTGGATGCCCGAGTTCCCCCCCATCTCTAAGGCGGAGCCCAGCCACCCTTTGAAGGAAGCTGATTTTGGCTGCTTGTATCCAGGATCTGGTTCTTTCAGTCATGACCCACGCCTCATGACCACAGGTGACGGTTGYAACATGAACAGACCAATAAATCCAGAGCTTTGCCTTTTGACTCAGCTCTTTCTTCACCACCATCAACCAATCCTACTTAACACAGAGAAGTTTTTGTTTGAGTGTCAGAGCTGTTGAGTCCTTTGTAGCATGCCTGACTTGTGGAGTACCTCATGGCTCTATACTTGGCCCTCTTCTCTTGTTTCCTTTATTTACTCCCACTAAGCTTTGTTGTCCAGTAACTCTGTTTCCTTCCCTTTGTATGGATGACAGTCAAATGTAAGTTCCACTGGAACAGGAAAAGCAGTTCTCTGTGAACCAGCTCCTGGATGTTTTGTTGAAGTCAGAGCGTGGACGTTGTTTAATATTTTACATTTTAATGAACAAAAGACCATGGTCATGTTATTTAAGGCCAGGAACAGTTTCTGTGTCCAAGCTGATCTGGGTCCTTTATCARAACATCTGACCCAACCCATTTAGACTACTTGAGTCCACTTTATGTTGGGCTGAGCCAGTTGTTACTGAGTCCACATCAGCTGGTTCAGAACTCTGCCGCTCACCTTTTAACTGGTACCAGAAAACCAGATCACATGGCCCATTTTACAACCACTACATTGACATGTTGTAATGTTTGTTTTTAAAGGTCTTCATGGTCTCACCCCACAGTATGTGTCTGACTTGCTCCAACCCTACGCTCAGGTCAGCACATCACTTCCTGTTGGTCGGTCCTAAATCAAAGAAGGCCTGGKTCTAAACTGGGGAATGAGCTGCCTCTGCACATTAGACCGACCGACTCACTTCCTGTTTTTAAATCTGCTCTTGAAACACATTTTCTCCTTGGCTTTTACCTCAGCTTGAGATGTTGGTTTTAATATATTTTCTGTTGTTTTGTGGATTTTCTTGGCTCATTTGACACAGTTTCWTAGGTTTTTTATGTTATGTGTTGTTATCAGCTCTTTGGCCACTTGTGTTATTTTTAAATTACTTTATAAATAAAGCTGTATTGTAACAGTCATCAAACTTGCCAGTTTCAAAGAAAAGGTGAAAGAACTTGTTCAGAATCATGTGGTCCTGTTTCTGCTGGTCTCTGTCCTCCTTCAGACCCGCGAGCCCCTCACCTCCACAGCCCAGGTTCTGACCATCTCTGGTTTGCTTCCATCAATGAGCTACAACTGCACCGTGACCAGCTTCAGCTACAGCACGCCGAGCCGGCCCGCACACGTCACCGTCAGAACCAACGGTAGGAGAACACTTTACCTCCATTAATGAGGAGAAACTTTACGTGTTTCAGCTTTGATCTCAGAAGAAACTCTGGCTTTAGATTCTCATCCTCGAAAGAAAACCACAGTTTGTCTTAAAACCAGTTTGTCTTTGAACAAGTTTGTCTTAAAACCAGTTTGTCTTTGAACCAGTTTGTCTTAGAACCAGTTTGTCTTAAAACCAGTTTGTCTTAGAACCAGTTTCTCTTAAAACCAGTTTCTCTTAAAACCAGTTTCTTTGAACCACAGAGAGCTGCAACTTCCTGCTTTAATGTTTGTTAATGTATTTAAACATATTCAGACTTCAGTTAAACTGGTTTAATCCAGTTAAGTCTGACTTCAGTTAAACTGGTTTAATCCAGTTAAATCTGTTGGACATGATGAATATGGCAGTGCCCCGCCCCCTACAAGGCGTCCTGCAGCAGCATGCTCCTACACTCCACTAAGGGGGCTGTTGTATATTTTCAGATTACTGGTGACTTTYTTGTCATAAATGCTCCACTGCTTGAAGCTCCGCCTCTGGTGGTAATCCAGGATTTATAGCCCTGTTGTTCCAGTTGTGACTTCAGTTTMCTTTTGTAATCTTTGATATTATTCTCTGTTGGCCCACTAACCCAACASTAAGACCTAAAGGGAATTTGATTGGCTACACGTCTGTGATGTCAGAACAAGGATCAGAGCTGATTGGCTTGTTCTACAATCAATCAAACCCTGCAGTCCACAGGCAGGTCATATGGACCCTCCTTGACATTTTGGCTGTAGAGAAGCCATGGGGCAACCTGATTGGTCAAGAAGGTGTCAGTCCAAACAGGAGAACCTATAGAATCGCTCTCATGCCCTCCTGTGTGAAGGAGAATGCACCAGCTGTACGTAAAAMCCTGTGAAGTGGACCCAGAGAGGATGTTAAAGTGAAAAATCAAAGCTCACATGGTTCTGCCTCCTGATTGGATGCTGGCTTTTGATTTCATCTGCAGCCAAAGAGATGAACCCCAGCGTCGCTGCCATCTCTGCGCTCGCCGCACTCAGTGTTCTGCTCATCAGCCTGCTGGTTCTGTTACTGCTGGTTCTCCGGAAGAAGCACCTGCAGATGACCAGGTACCAAACTGAACACAACACCGGTCTGCCTGGCACRACTCAGGTCCATGTGGGGAACTTCAGCTTTGACAGGAAGGTTCTGGTTTCCTGGTGAAGTCCTGGTGAACCCAACAACCAGAATCTGATTTCAGATCAGKTGAATGAGATCAAGTCCTTTAACCCATCAGAAGGTTTCAGTCTGAACACTGTGAGGCTCACATGACCTGCACTTATAACTTTATTCTGAAATATTTACACATCAAACCATTTCAGCACAAATACATTTCTTTACAATCTATTCTTAAGCAAAAATTAGGTTCAAAAGTTCACATGTGAATAATAAAAATACCAATGACACGTTAAATTTTGTCCAGTTTATTCCAAACATCACATGGACGTGAGGATTAAGTCATAAAGTGAAGAAGTGGGCGGTTTTAGTGTTTGGATTAAAACATTATGAATAAATGTCTTATCAATGTATCATGTCATTGATCCGTCTGAAATATAAGAGTTGAACATTCATTTCATCAGCAGCAACAAAAAACCTGATTTTGATCAAAAAGGCCTTAAATTTGAGATAATCTCCCTGCGAGCTAGCACACGTCAGAAAATGCTTTAAATGAGGCTCACCTTTCTAGTTTTTATCATTTCATTTTTAATAAGACTTTTCAGCTGAAACTAGGAGACAAATTACTTTATTTTAGAAATTTTGTTCAAAGTTTATACTTGTCAGCATTCTGGTCCAAATACTTACTTTGTCAGTGTCGTAGAATGAGTTTTTATTAATATCAATCTTTGAGAGTTTTTGATTGAAAAGTTTTTTATGGTGAAGAAACTTTWCAGATTAAACCTCTGCTGCTTTTTTCACTTCTTCTTTACTGTAAAATCTGCAAATAATTCAGAACTTCCTCAAACGCCTCAGAGCCA